AATTCTGGTAAATCCTAAAGGAATTATCTGATTCGTCCATATTCAACCAGAAATTTTTTTCAGTGTAGACGAAATGTGTAGGAAGCGTAATTTGGAACAGCGAAGCGTAAAAGAAACCTCAAACACTTCTTTTACGCTTCGCTGTTCCGAATTACGTTTCCTACGCATTTCGTTTACGCTTCTGTCACTCTCCCCTTACATTCGATTTACGCTCCAAATTCTACTTTCATCAGGGTTCATGTTAAAACGCACGCAAGACTGTATCATACATCAAATCTCCAGGGGCTCGATCATGAATCTTTTCCTCTGGCGTGAACTCGTAAACAGTGAAGAATTTCATTGAACACCTTCACTGTTCGTCAATGAAGCTGTTCACCTTTCGCGAATTCACGGCTAGAGGCAAAGGCTATACGTTCAGCAGAAAAAGCTGCTTTGCAACTGTTGTAAAATTCGTGAATCTGCTTGGCGTATGCTCTTAAATTCATTCAACATTAAAAGAATACGCCAATCAGACTCACAAATTTTACAACAGTTGCAAAGCAGCTTTTTCTGCTGAACGCAGCCAAAGACTCACGGACCGAGGCCCAGCGTTCCGTTCTGCGGCATTGAACGCGCCCTCTCGTAAATGATCATCGTCATGAATGACTTCGGAAAGAAATGCAGCGTTGCCAATTTGTTTTACGCACGCGCCCGTGATGCTCCGACATGGCAACGTGGTCACGTCGGCGCGGCCTCATTGCCGCCTCGACACCTCACAGCACCGCGAAATGACGGACGCGTAGCGTCCAGAGGGTCCCCGAGTGACGGAAGTCCGTGCAACGTGACCTAACATCGCCGCGCTACGATTTTTCCCCCATGAACAAAATCGTTTTTCCGCTGCGGAAGCCGCGCTACGACTGGGACAGGCCGTAACTCGCATTCTGTACCACGTCTGCCTTCATGCCGCATTTCCGCCGATCATCGGGGAGTTCTTCGCTATTTCGGTCGAACAGGTAACAAAACAGGTGTACATCGATTCCTTCCGGAGCATCTCGAACGGATTGGCGCGAACAATGTGCTCCGAAAACAGGAACGGACGCCTATCAGTTTACTTTCTCAACGTCCACCTAAATAATGTAGCTTTCAATTGTTCCAATGATTAACAACAATCTTTGTGCATTACGGTAAAAACAATTGGCGTGTACAAATGAAAGTTACGGGTGACGGTGTAAACGGAAGAATATCGATGCTGCCAAACGGTGATCGAGCACAAGTGGAAAGCAAGTCGATAATATATTTGCTGGGCTTGGCACGACACGTATCAAAGAGAGCTCGCAGATATATTTTTATCAGCTTCCGGGCAACATTTGAGTAACGATTAGTTTGAAACGTATCTTCTTCCTGTGCCAGATGAATGCTTTCTTTGGAATCTTCATTCGTTAGCCCGAGAGAGTCATTCTGTGTCATGTGAATTTTTATTCTAGTTTTGTACACGCATTCTTATCGTACTTTACCTGATTTAACGTTTTATTGTCAAGAAGAATTGTTGCCGAAGATTGGCTGCTTTTTCTAAGACTTGATGACATAAATTTTTGTAAGCATTTCTATTATTATCTATCAGATTAGTTTTAAGTCATAAGCATACGAGAGGGTACGAACTGTGTTAAGTTGCAAAATTAATTTGACGTGAAACTATAAAGTGACATATTGCACAATTTTGTTTATTCGAGGCTCAAATTTTCAACAATGTATTATATACACTGAGAAAAATGGTTCAACTATATGTGGCGATCACGGGCTGCCGAGCAAATATTTGTCAATTCGTAAAAATATTCGTCAATTCATAAAAATATATGTTTTGTCATTTCAATAACTTTTTCTCAATGTATAAAAAAATAATTTCCGTTTACATTTGACAAATCGCGGAATGGAGGGAAGTGGAGTAAAATTTAAGCCGTCGAATTCTCTCCTTTGCTCGAACACTTTGCTTTCGATTAAGTCACAAGAAGTCTTATTTTATGTAGTATAAAAGTTTACGGTAAAACTTATTTCTTTTGTCACGACATAACGTTTCTTCCAAATATCTTGTGACGATGATTTTCTCACATGCAACTCGAAGCATAACTGAACGTAAGATGTCTGTGAAATAATATTACAGTAAATGAAAATGACGAGAATCCGGAGAATCTGCTGCATCGGAGCCGGTTACGTGGGTGGCCCTACGTGCAGCGTCATTGCACTGAAATGCCCGGAAATTCAAGTGACCGTCGTTGACAAGAGCAAGGAGAGAATAGCGCAGTGGAATTCGCAGAAGTTACCGATATACGAGCCCGGCTTGGACGAAGTAGTTGAAAAGTGTCGTGGGAAGAACCTGTTCTTCTCCACCGACATTGAGACGGCGATCAAGGAGGCCGATCTGATATTCATTTCGGTGAACACGCCGACGAAGACCTTTGGCAACGGCAAGGGACGAGCAGCGGACTTGAAGTATGTGGAAAGCGCTGCCAGGATGATCGCGGAAGTTGCGATCGGCGATAAGATTGTCGTGGAAAAGAGTACCGTACCGGTGAGAGCGGCCGAGAGTATCATGAACATTCTTCGCGCTAATCACAAGCCAGGTGTCTCCTATCAGGTGAGATAGTTCTTTTTCAACGTCGTAATTGAAAGAGAAAAAGCGACAGATACATTCCTAGGGCCTGAGCAGAAAGATTGTCGTAAACACTCGCGACAATCTTTCTGCTCGGGCCTTTAACAGATAAATTAAAAAAACGAAAGCACCAATGTGAAACAGGCGCAGAAATCAAGATGCGATAAATTTAAAACGGACGAAATTTAGTCAAATGTTTCGATTCCTCTTTTGGATCATCTTCGATGAAAGAGGAGAAATACAAGAAAAATCTGTTCCGTGTCTCAGCTACCAATCTCCTCTGCATCTCGAATACGACGAGTTTCATAGCGGTTCCAGCCGTTAAGAGAAATGAAAATCCAATGGTCACAACTGATAAGAAACAGAAGAAATGCAAAGAGAAACGACGGGAAAGGCAACAAGACAACAGTTACCTTCTCTAGACTCCACTTCGTACATTTAATTCTCACGATGCTCTATAACGCTTTTCTATATTTACTTTTAATATGCATTTAAATGTACCAGCATTGCCACGCAACGCAACGTTGCATAAATAATCGAATTGCGTTTTCAGAATTGATTCGTTCAACACAACACACGTGATACGCGGGATTTCATTGAGTTGTTGCGCCCGTAGTTGATTGTCGAACAGTAATCGCGCGATTTCGTACTTAAATTAATCGTCATTCATTGCAAGTAACGCCCTTGTTTCATATCGTCTGATTATTCGCCTTTTCTCAGGTGTTTGCTATTATTGTACATTACTCATCGATTTGCACGTTCGCTGAGATTATCTCCTCCATATTTACTGGAATGTATTAATTATTTTTTCAGATTCTTTCGAATCCGGAATTTCTGGCTGAAGGGACCGCGATAGAAGACCTGGTGAACGCTGATCGGGTGTTGATTGGCGGGGAGTCCTCGCCAGAAGGACAGGCAGCCATCGAGGAGCTCTGTAAAGTTTACGAACATTGGATTCCTAGGGAAAATATTCTAACAACGAACACGTGGAGTTCAGAACTGTCGAAACTGGTGAGTAATCCTACATTTCACATTCTAGTTGTAATAGCAGTCCCGCTATGTAAATAAGTCGCGTAAGTCTCATGAGGCTATATTGCGACATACGGTTTGCAGGTATGTATAAATTACGCAATAAATAAACTTCTGTTTCTTTTTTATTGAAACGATGGTTATTATACTAACTTGCAGGGTTGGGAAGTAACTCGTTACTTGTAAGCTTGTAACGAAGTTATAGTTACTTCTTTTTTTGGTAACTTTAACTTAACTTTGTTACTTTCTCTCCATCTGTAACTGTAACTTAACTCAGTTACATTTTTTCGATAACAAGTAACTAATTTAATAGTTACATTAATAGTTACTTTATATGTATATATTTTAAACCTCCACAAGATAGCAGGCCTTGCATTTGCGCATAAACGCCTTTGTCGACGCTTTACAATTCAAATGCAGATTGATATTTTTATTTTCATTGCAAGAAAGTAACTGCAAAGTAACGATTCGTTACTTTTTTAGCAACTGTAACGCGTTACTTTTCAGAATTAGTAACTTGTAACTATAACAATTATAGTTACACTTTTAGTGAAAAAACTGTGACCGTAACTAGATATACTTTTATAAAGTGACTTTTTCAACCCTGCTAACTTGTATAATAAATTAAATGCTCTGCAAATACATATTTGAACTGTGTAAAAAAAATAATATGACCTTTCAAAATATTAATTGATTAGTTTTAATTTCATATTCTGAGACATTCTCATATCTATCGCTGTTGAAGTTCCCACTTTATAAAAGAGTGTAATTTAATACTCATAAAATCTTCTTGTACGTAATTAGTGTATTTCCCCAAATAAGTATATAAGTATAAAGTATAAGCGTTAGAAATATATGTGTATTATTTAGCAAATAAAATCCTAATCTCAAGAAATAAAACAATAAGTTGCAATATACATTTATTTATATATAATCTGATTTTAGGCTGCGAACGCTTTCCTCGCTCAACGCATCTCCAGCATAAACTCGTTGTCAGCAGTGTGCGAAGCCACGGGTGCCGACGTATCTGAGGTCGCACGGGCAATCGGACTTGATTCTAGAATCGGTTCCAAGTTCCTTCACGCGTCGGTCGGTTTCGGCGGTTCTTGCTTCCAAAAAGATATTCTAAATTTAGTATATATTTGCGAGTGCTTAAATCTGCCCGAAGTGGCGGCGTATTGGCAACAGGTGATTGATATGAACGAATATCAAAAGTCACGATTTTCCGCCAAAGTTATAGAATCTCTCTTTAACACTGTGACGGACAAGAGGATTGCCATGCTGGGTTTCGCATTCAAGAAAAATACAGGAGACACGCGTGAATCACCAGCGATTCACGTCGCCAAGACGTTGTTGGACGAAGGCGCTGTTCTTCACATTTACGATCCCAAGGTCAGCTCTTTCTCTTTTCTATGTACAATGCGTTTCACATGTATCAGACTTGTTAATAATATAATAAGAATATTCTTAAAGTCGCCAGAAGTAATTAATAAATTAATAACATCAGTGATTTTTGTTCACCGTATCTGGCACTTAAAATTCTTATTGCAAAAAATATTGCGAAAATTATCCCAGCCAGGATTCGAACCTGGGACCTCCCTACAATCCGTGACGGGTGTCTTAGCCAGCTCGACCACCGGGGCTGTGATAATACTATTTGCAATAACATGTATATAACTTAAGATGTTGTTTACGCGTCTATTTCGACTTTTCAGAAACTGTGCGTCGATACGGATTGTCGACCTTTTTTGTTAATTTGTTAATAATAAATTCTTTAAGTATGAACAATTTATAATAAAATTACTAATTATAAAAAGGGATCCAGGGCCTAGACAAGGTTGTAGTGTCCAATAAAAATTATTTAATTAGAAAAGAATATACGTTTCGGTCCTTATTGGACCATATTCAGTATGAAGAAAGAAATAAATACAATTTAATGCGTGGACAAATTCGCAAATTAGATATTTACAAAGGATTACGCAGTCAATAGTATGAAAATAAAATAAAAGTTGTAATAAATTATAAAATGATTGTACATAAAACACGGCGCAAGTGAGTATAACATGGTGAATTAAAAAGAGAAAGTTGGGATCGTGTTGAACGTTACTGTAATGTAATACAGTAAAGTCATCCACACAGTTCAACACGATTCCAACTTTTATATTCCTTTTATTTTTATACTATTGACTGCGTCAAAAACATCAAATAAAGTTATGCATAACGAAATTATAGCGAATTTTTTAATAAATTTGATATCTTGTATATTGTTATTCTTAGATTGGATAGTGATTTTTACGTAAGATATGAAAATTAGAAATACTTCACTAATCAGTCATGATCAACAAGTTATTATTATGTATTATGCTTCGTGTATGGCGGCTTTCTAATTCTAATTTCTTCTAATTCACAGGTTGAGGAAACTCAGATTATCCAAGATTTGACTCATCCAACCATAACGAGCAATCCTGAAGATATAAAAAATCGAATCAGTATTTATAAAGATGCTTATAGTGCAACGAAAAATACACACGCGTTAGTTTTATGTACAGAATGGGACGAATTTATCGTAAGTAAGAAAAGAAAAGTCGTTTTCTATGATGATTACAGAAATCATTCATCCTTAATACTAATTTTTTCACGTAATTATATATGTTCAGTGTTGTATTAATATAATATGACGATGAACAAATTAATTAATATTTTATTGTCCTAATACATGATTTGTAGGAACTGGATTACACGCAGATTTATGCAGATATGATGAAGCCAGCGTATATTTTCGATGGAAGGAAGATTTTGAATCACGATCGATTACAAAGGATCGGTTTTGTTGTCCAAACTATTGGTAAAAAACTCACGAGATCCGCAATTTCCAGAGTGTGGGGTAGCCAGACGCAAGTTTAAGCAAGAACGGACCAAACTACAAGCAATACTTCCAATTTAATAAAAAGCCATCAACAATTATTACAAGTTTTGTTGAGTTAATCCAAACATATAGATGCATTTGTGAAACGTAGAATATTGAATTTTACTATTTTAGCAAACAGATACGTTTATCTCCTAATGGATGTGTCGTTATAGACTGCGCGTAGTTCAAATAATGACATTGATTTTGTCTTAAAATATGAACTCGTGCTATTTTCTACAATTGGTGGATTTAGAAAAAGCCTGGATATTACAGAATGGAATGTGTCTTCTAAGAAACATATTTTAAGAATTAGAAGATTTTGTAAGAAGGTTTCATACATTTGAGCTATTTGTCCCCAAGGAGAGCCAATGCGCGTATAATGTGCTTTAAATGTACATTTAAATTCGCATTTAGTACACGTATTTGTCCCGCATTAAATGCACATTTAATGTGTATTGTGGCAGTACATTCCAAAAAACTGTACCATTATCCGCCTATGTATAATTTTTCCTGCATAAGCATGTATAAATATAGAGATTTATATAAAATTATTTATCTCAAATATGCCCAAACATGTTAAATTCGCGCATTTCGAACACACAAATAATTGAAGCCAATGCAATAAAACGCGCATTAAAAGCACGTTCTATGCGCATTGGCGCTCCTTGGGCCATCACAATTTAATGAGTTTTATAAAATTAAGTTTTTTGGAAGAAAATGAAATATATCGATCTGTCTATGATGTCATGTTTAAAATTTTAATATCATGTTTAATTGTATTTAATTATCTTAGAATACTCTAAAAAGAGACAGATAAAGAAATACACATTTTTTAAATCTCATACATAAATTATAATTTTCTTCTATCGGATATGTTATATCGATATAGGTGTGAAAGCTTGACAGATTTTGTAATATTTTCCTGGCGAGTGACTCTAATAGTTGAAGAAAATCAAGGCAGGTCAGTTGCTTGGTGACAGTTAATAGAAATGGAAACGTATTAGCCAATGACATCAGACAATCACATGTATATCATTAATACATTTATAAGGGATTCATTTTGTAAAAATGTTCTATATAATGCTATATCTCTATAAACTATGTACCACTAGAGCAAAAAAGCTACAGAACTACAGAGCTTGTAGAGCGAAAGTTTTGCTTACAAAATACAATAATTAAAGCTAGAATTTAATGGCAACTTTTGCCAATTTTTGTTGACATTTGTATTTTCGTCAATGAGCTTTGATACATTGTAAAATGATATTTTTTCTTAAATATGATCGTATTTGTCTTAAAGCCAAAATCCTTGTTTCTTTAAATAATTGTTTCCTTAAATAATTGATTCATAAGTAAGATTAAGCACTGAAAAGGAAAAAAACAGAAACGAGAGCTTTAGCAGCATTCAAAGAATTCCATTGCGTTTATAATGCGGTCTCTTCAGAAATAAAGCATAAAATTAGCTTGAAAACTGCAATTGATTTCTAACTCTGAGATAGACAATTGGATCGCCTTAACGCGGCACCGCCTAAAAAGAGATATTATGAAATCTCTTGAGTTTTTACACCGTAATTATTTATTTAGATATATTATCAATTATTATATTATCAACGAGTACGTATACAATGACAAATGGCAATAAAACAATGATGATTTAAAGTGTTATGAACGTTTAAATACCTTTATTTTTATTTGTTTTTTGATTATTCGAAATTAATGGTATTTTAATATTAAGTATATATGTATAGTGAAAATATTCCATACACACATATTATTGCAACAAGTATTTATAATACGCGTAATAAAGAGACATTTTCTTCATTATTATCTTTATGAGTTGGCCTTCTATCTGTTATCATTGTACGTTAAATAATTATTACAAACTCTTTCTTCATAAACACACTTATGTCGATATCTTATCTCAAATTTTTTATTTAAGTTTGATATACTCTAAATTCCCCATGCAAACAACATAAGTGTTCTAGCTTCTCACTTCTGTGTCGTTTTTCTAATATATAAGATTATTTGTATAAGAAACGCATTTTGTGATAATCAAATTTGCAATGTATTTTCGAAGTGTCAGTTCGAACACATTTATGTACATTTTATATACTTTTTTAAATTCGAATCACGAAATAGCTTAATGCAGTTTTCGTGAATTCAGCATTAAAAGTATTTTGAATGAAGTTTAGAAAGAACTTATTTCTTATTAACTTATTAAATGTGTTTGCAGTATTACACACGCGTTTAATATTGTTTCGAATCGGACGTGTAGGCATGTAAAATAAGACATTTTAATTACTTATACCTTATTTATAACAAGTATCGTAATGAAAACGCACCGCACACTATTTGAAGTTATTAAAAATCACTTTACAGTTTATAAATACATTATACATATTACAATAATCTGCAAGAGTTACTGTTTTTATAAAGTTCACACTTATATATGCACTTACATAGGCAGTACGTTACATCTTACTGCCTAGTGTGTGTATTGTGCATAGGTTCCAGTTACATATCTCATAAAAGTTTATAAATAAATTTTATATAAAAATAGTTTAATAATTAATGTATTAATTCCTCGTATGCATTTTAATTTGTTAAATAACCATACGAAAGATGATACCTAATTGCAAGTTTTACATAAGATAGGATTAAGGGAAACATTTGCTTTGGTACAGAGTTTTCGCAATTTATATTTTAAATTATCTAAACACTGTGAAAAGTATTTAGAGGCTGGAGATATTTGAAAATTTTGGAAAGATTCGATTTGTAGCGTTTTCTTACCATGCAAGAAATGGATTGCGCCAAACTTATTTTTTTACCTTACGTGAATCACGATGCTAATGAAACTAAATGTACCTTCAACAGGCGCATGCGCCAATTTCTTGGCAGTAATGTATCAAATTTTCGCTAAGCCCTGCTGTTAACGTGGCGTATCTTTAAGGCAAAAAATTTGATGAAACACCGCAAGAACTTATGTCTGCGGAATGTATTAGAAAGTTAGGTTTATACTTAAATAATTTTCTTCGTAATAAAATTAAAAAGTAATGTTCTTTATTACAGTCCGACGTAGAAGTAAGTGTATTCGTATCTAGCATATCTTTGCAAATTGTAATAAAAGATGCACAAACTCGCGCGTAATAATCAGGTTACTTAATATTTTTATAAAAATGATCACTAATATACTTTCCCTTAATTTTCTAATTACTTTAACGAGGCAGATCAAATCGAATTATTAAATGTGCACTTACAATTTTTCGCTCTTAATATTTTCATACAAAATAAAAATGATAAAATATCGGAAATTCTTTTCTTATCGAGACTTGCAATTAATGACTTCTCTATTATAAAAATTGTCAAGACAGCGTGTTACGAATCTGCCGTGCATAATGCGCTCCGATCTCAACTTTTACAGTATATTTCGGAGCACTCTTTCTCTCTCTTCTCCATGATTTCGAAAGACGGAAGATCTGCCTCTTGGAATTTTCCTATCCATTTATTACTTAGGCCGGAAGGAATTTGTGCCGCCTCGTTTCTCGCGGTTTCCTAGCGAAATAGCGGAAACGGAGGTAACAATGTGCACGCGGCTATGTACGAATCTGAGGCAGGCAGTGACGTGTTTGACGAAAGGTTTCAGCAGTAGCGGCGGTAGTGGCAGCAACACGAGTCGCTGTCGGGCGATCAGCGAGAGGAGCTCGAGCGGGCCGCGTGACAGTCGCGTCGAGATTGCGCCGGAGTGCCGACGACGACGTCCACGACGACGACGGCGACGGCGATGATAAGGACGCGCGGCGCGTGGCCGTTTTCTCGAGTCCGTCGGCGCGCGGCTATCAGTGATACGCCCGTGGTGAAATCCTACGGTCGCGCGAGTGCGTACCTCGGCGCGTTCGTCGCGAGAGAATTCGCGATAGGCCGGGCCTGTCGGTAGGAAAATGGCGGCGCGCCTTCCGCGGCGGCGACGTCGCGCGACGAGGCACGTTTGAGGGAGATTTTGACGCTCGCACCGCGAAACGATCGGCCCGCGTGACCAGCGGCGATACCTACCGCCCACCCTCGTCCACCCGGGTACGAGACGGTCCTCGTGCGCGCGGGTGTTACGCGATCGGGGGAGAAGCGGCCGGAGCAGCGGCCGGAGCAGCGGCCGGAGCAGCGACGTCGCTCCGGACGATGTGATAATCCGTGCACTCGGACAACGACGACGCGGGCGCGTGCGAGTGATACGCGTTGCGAGTCGCGCTCGCCCCCCCGGCAGCGGCAAGTGCCGTCACGCGGGCGCTCTTATGCGAGTGAGCGCCGCGAGCCAGCGGCATCGGCAGCGGAGGCACGGACAGCGGTGACAAGTGTCCCCGTCGGCGAGGCGGCCACCTCGCCCCGTCCCCGCGGGGGATCGCTCGCCGGAGGATGATGATACCGCGACCCTGCCGCCGCGATCGGCGCTGAGCCGCGGCGGCCAAGGCCGGCGGCCCTCGGCGAACGGCCACCACGGCGGACCACCGGCTGCACCCGCGGAGGCTCAGGCAAGATGAGGGGCGTCCGCGACGGCGGCATGGCGAGCCTCATCGCCCTGGCGCTCCTCTACCTGCTCCACGCGTCCTGCCCTGTCAACGGTAACGTATATCACCTTTGCCGCCGTAGACATAGAGAAAACTTACGTCGCGCTGATAGCACCTTGCGGCGCGAGATCAGGGAGTTGCCGCGGTAATTCATTTCTCGGACGCGGTCACGTTAAACATGTAGATATTGCGAAATCAACAAGGGCGTGAGGGTGCAGCGCGGTTTCGTTCCTGTCTTGATATTGCGCTGGCACATTTCATTGTGCATCACGGTACATTGACCGGAGCGTCTCGACTCCGATTTGAGTCGTCTTCCGCGTTAAATACGGTAAAACCCTTCCCCGCGGTCTCCCCCGGTCGTCGACGAGAGCTTTCAGACTGTCAAATCGAAAAGCCATTGATTTTCAAGTTATTGTACGATTGTACAGGCGGCAGAACATGAGAGCGGAAGTGCTGGTGGAATAGTGGAGCAAGTCTTCTATTATGAGATAGGCTCCTAATATGAGACGGCGGAGTTTCTGCTCAATTAATAGGCATCGTCTATCGGTTCCATCATGAATTTATTGCTCTTGGAGCGAAATCTGTTTGGTGGAAAAGCGATTGTTGGATCGTGTAAGAGCGTCGCGAAAAAAGATTTGCGATTGAGTTTGAACTCATATTAGATCTCATAATAGAGGACTCTCCTCTACATGCGTTGGTTGAAAAAATTCACGCCGATTGCAGTCAAAAAAACGGTCGTATTAAGAGACGAGAGATGTAATTAAAGAATGGCGAATAGCAATAACCGATAGAGGAAGGTCTCCTATTATGAGATAGAATTCTAATATGGGATAGTTTCGGAGTTTCTGCTGAATTAATAGGCAATCAGTTGATTCCACCATAAATTTGTTGCCCTTGAAGCGAAATCAGTTTGGTGGGAAATTCGCTGTTAGATCGCGTAATCGTTGCGAAAGAAGATTGAACAAATAAAATTCATAAGAAATTTTATTTGTCCATTGAATATCGGACTTTACTATGGAGAAGGTGCCTCGCTAACAGAGTACAAGTAACAATTAAATATTTCACTCTACCTGTGCGTGAACAATTTTAATTAATTATTGTATTAACACCGGGGCATTTGTGATTTAATTTCGGTGTTGAAAACCTACTGTCTGATATTAGAAAC